CACTGAGTGCCCAGGGTCCCTGACGAAGCTACCCACCCTGAGCCCCTGGGCAGAGGGGCCCTGCTTCCAGTTACCAGAGGAGGGAGTAATGAAAGATGTACTTTTGCAGAGAGAAGCTCAAAGGATGTGTGAGATCTTGCTGGGATAGACGGGAAGGGCTCTCCTGGAAGCAGTCACAGTGTGAGGAAGGGCACAGAGGTATGAAAGTGCGTGCCGTGGTTCAGACTTATGCAGTGACCTATGCAGTGTAGGAGGAGTGCATGGAGCTTTGCAGCAGGAGGAGGGTGGGGCGCCCTTCTCTGTTGGACAAACTCATGTTTCTCCTTTAAGACTCCTGTCTTCTAGGGCCGGCCCGGTGGCTTAGCAGTTAAGTGCACGTGCTCCGCTACTGGCGGCCCTGGTTCGGATCCCGGGCGCGCACCGACGCACAGCTTCTCCAGCCGTGCTGAGGCCACGTTCCACATATAGCAACTAGAAGGATGTGCAACTATGACATATAACTATCTACTGGGGCTTTGGGGGTAAAAAAAAGAAAAAGGAGGATTGGCAATAGATGTTAGCTCAGAGCCGGTCTTCCTCAGCAAAAAGAGGAGGATTAGCATGGATGTTAGCTCAGGGCTGGTCTTCCTCCACAAAAAAAAAAAAAAAAGAAAGACTCCTGTCTTCTACCCTGAGGTCCTCCCTGGTTAACACACCTTCCTAAGCACATGCCCATCTCACCCATCCCTCTGTTACAGTCCATGTTTGTGCCAGCAGCCAACCCCCAGGGAGCCTAGGCTGTGTTTAATTCATTTCTGTGTCTCCAACATATAGACAGCAGGAGTACCATCAAAGATACTTAAAGAGGGAAGTGTCGTCAGGCTTGTGTTTTAGAAAGATAACTCAGCTGTGTCGTGGAGAGTGAATTAGAGAGAGCAGAGCCAAGGGAGTGGGTAGATGTATTGTGTGTCAATGTCCTCAAGAGAAATGATGAGCAATTACGAAAGAACAGTAGAGGCCCTGAAGGCTGGCAGAGACCAGGCACAACTCCATCAAGGCTCTGGCTCTGCTCGTGTGAAGGTCTTCTGAATCTGCTTCCTCTGTGAGTTGGCTTCATTCTCAGGCTGGTAACAAGCTAGTTGCAGCAGTTCTGGCCCTCATGCCCAGAAGCACCCAGCAAACATCCCCTCCTATCTCATTGCCCACAATTGGATCATATGTCCATTCCTGAACCAGTTCCTAGGGCCAGGAAATGCCATGTGCTAATTGGCTTGCGTTCCTAATCAATTACTAAAAGGTCTATAAGATTACCTTAGACCTGTCAGGCCCAGCCCTGGAGATTGGATCTGCTTACCCCTGGATTCTCTGGACTGAGGTAGGAGGTGATACCCTGAATGAAACTAGGGTATCGTTAGGAAGGAGGAAATGACTGCTAGATATGTACCTGTCTCCACTACAGGGACCAGTTGGACTCATTCATTTATGTATTGAACCTTGCACATAGTAGGTACCTATACATGCACCCACACATACCTACACACCTGTAGGGACACGCTTTGTGGATTGGTTTATCTGGAAAACAGCTATCATCATCCTGGGTGAATTTCAAACCTCTCATGGAGGACCCCCTACCCCCATCTCTGACTATCCATTCCTTGACTTCTCCTTGCATCTTGTAATTGACTGTCCCATCTCCAAGGTCAGACATGGCCTGCTCTCTGACCACAGCCTCCAGTCCCTCCCACTCTCACTCAGTGACTCCCACAACTCCTCTCCTTGACCTCATAGACACCTAAGAGGCCAGTATAGCCCAGGGGTTAACAACATGGACCACACTTCAGTTCTGCCACTTACTTGGTAGTTTAGGCTAAATACTTAAACTCCTCTGTAACATAGGAATAGGAACCAACCTCCCAGGGCTGTTGGGAGCATTAAATAAAGTCACGCATGAAAGATGCTTAGGACAGAGGACATACTTAATAAATATTAGCTCCATACAAGACATCTGTCACCCAGACCCTTCTGTTTTCTTCCAGTCAGCCCTTTTCATTTTTATTTCCTGCCTGTTCCCCCTTAGAGTCCCTGCTCCATCTGTTGCCAATATCCTATCTCCACTCGCTTGCTCTCTCAAACCTGTTCTTCCCTCAGACCTTCCTGGCAAATGCTCAGCTTTGGACCAACCTAACTTTCTTCATGCCAATGTCTAGGTTACTAGAAAAAAATCAACAACTGGGCAGATGGTTGCTACAGTAACTTCAGTTCCTGTGGCCTCAGCTGGACCCTTAATGCTTCTTGGCAATCGTCATGCTCTTCCCTGGTCAACTGTTTTTCCTATTCTCCAAAGAAGCAATTTTCAAACCTTCATCACTTTCCTCCAACTTCCATTTCTTCCCTCACCAAACCCTCCATTTCTTGCAGATAATTTGGCTTCCTAATTTTCAGAAAAGAGCAAAAATCAGACTGGAACATTCCAAACCATCACCATCCCTCATCCCCCCTTGCCAAATCCAGAGATATATCTGCATCCCTGCCCAGCCTTTCCTACTGTTACAGTGGAGAAAGGGTCTTCTACTTGTGTGTTGAATTCCAATCCCTCCTGTCATCTCAGACACCTTGACTCTTCAGTTATCTCTGTCTCTCCTATGACTTCAACCCCTCCCTCTATAGTGCCTCCTTCATATCAGCATTTAAACAAGTCTCTGTCATCTTACAATGCACTCTCCTTCAATGCCACATCCTATTACCTATCCCATTCCATTATATTCATCTTGGCTCTTCCCCATCACTGTCTGATTTGCTAGAAGAGTTATATATACTCATGATCCTCATTTCCTTACCTTCTACTGGTTTTTCAACCCATCATAGCCTGATCTCTGCTCCCACCACTCTCCCGAGAGTCCTTGTTGCTAAATCCAATGGTTTCTTTGTTTTGGATACTTATTCCTCTCTTACTTGACCTCTTAGAAGGATTTGACACTGCCTCCTTAAGACATGTTCTCCCCGGGGCCGGCCCCATGGCTTAGTGGTTGGGTGTGCATGCTCCACTGCTGGCGGCCCGGGTTCGGATCCCAGGCATGCACCGCCGCACCGCTTTTCCGGCCATACTGAGGCGACGTCTCACATACAGCAACTGGAAGGATGTGAAACTGTGACATACAGCTGTCTGCTGGGGCTTTGGAGGGGGTGGGGGTGGAAGGAGGAGGACTGGCAACAGATGTTGGCTCAGAGCCTGTCTTCCTCAGCAAGGAGAGGATTAGCATGGATGTTAGCTCAGGGCTGATCTTCCTCAAGGAAAAAAAAAGGCACGTTCTCCCCTTGTCTCCTATAACATCATAACTCAGAACTGCATGGCCACTCCTTCTCAGTCTCCATTGTCCAGCTCTTAAACATAGCTATTCTATCAAAGACCTCATTTGTACTTACATACTCTCTCAGGACAATCTTATCCACTCCAATGGCTCCAGTTGCCATCTTGCTTACCATCTAAAGGTCCCCAAATTTGTACCTCCAGATTATGATCTTGCTTATAAAATTCAGAATTGTTTATACAGCTGCCTACGGGTCATCTCCACTAAGATGCCTCTCAGGCACCTTAAAGTCAGCACTCCCAAACTAAACTCAAGCTCTTCTCCCAAGCCTGCTATTCCTCCTTGTCATGGTGAGTAGCAACACCATCTACCCTGCTGCCCAAGGCAAAGAACCTTAAGCATTATCTTTGATTCCTCTCTCTCTCTCAGACTTTATATCCAGGTCATCACCAAATCCTATCATTCTGGTAAGGTGGAAAGAGTATGGGTTTTGGTTGAAATTCTAATTGTGGTTTGGACAAATTACTTAACCTTTCTCAGCCTCAAGTTCCTCACCTGTAAACAGGAAATAGTAATACCTCATCCCCAAATTCAGTCTTCCCACTCATCAATGGAACAACCAGCTGCCTGGTCATTCAAATCAAAAACTTGAACCGTCCTTGATTTCTTCTTTTCTGTCCTCACCACTCCCCAACGTTGAATCCATCGGCATATTCTGTTGATTCTGCTTCTAAAAATTTACTTCTAAGATAGATCTCAAATTGTCCATTTCTCTTCATCTCTCCCGCCCGCCCTCTAGCCCCAGCCCCCATCACCACTCAGCTGTACTACTCAATAGCCTCCCGTACAGCTCCTACTTCTGCTGTCTCCACTATGCTCTGTTCAGTACGCAGTAGCCAGAGGCATCTTGCTAAAATGTAACTTTGATCATGTCATCCACCCCTTCCTTAAAACATGTCAGAGGCTCTCCTTTACTATTAAGGTAAAAGTCAAAAATTCTAACGTGGCCATGTACAAGGTCCTGCGTGTTCTGCCCTGGCCTTCCTCTTCAGCATCTCTCAGCCCACCATGTCCCCTGTATCTAGCGAGTTCCAGCTTGCCAGCCATCCTTCAATTCCTGGAACTCCTGCACCAGGGCCTCTGTCCTTGCTGTGCTCTCTCCCAAGAAGAGCCCTCTTCTCTCCCCATCCTTCCTTCCTACAGTCTAGGTAACCTCCTCCTCCTCCTTCCCTCATTCCCAGTCTAGGTCAGGTTATTTACTTCTGTAGAAACATGGGAATTTTTTTCCTGCTTCAGAGAACCTATTTTAATTTGAAGTTTTCTATATATATACTCATTCATTCATTCATTCGTGTGATTATGTGATTGAGGTCTGTCTCCTCCACTAGACTATAAGATCCATGAAGAAGGCCCCCTTTGCTCCTGTTCACTGTTCTTTCCCATCAGCTAGCTCAGTGTCTAGCACAAAGTATGTGCTTAGTAAATGATTGGTTGTATGCTGAACAAATAGGTAGAGTCCTGAGAACAGTCATCATCAATGGCAGTGTCCCTGTAAGGCATGTGCTCTTCCCAGAGGTAGCAGGCCCAGGTTCTCCATAACATGTCAGCTGGAGGGAGTGTGACTTGGCTTGATTTTTTTTTTCATTTCAGCTGTCTGAATGAATAGAGCATGCTGCCCAAAACTTACTCATTTTCTCTTCTCTCTTTATTCAGCTAAAGCTTGCTTTCACTCTGGACCACGAGACTGGATTGCCTCAAGGATGTCACATCTATGAGTACAGAGACAGCAACAAGTAAGCTACTCAGTGGGAAAGCTTGTCACCTCTCTGTGTCCTGCAGGGGTAATGACTAGGGGCTTTCTTACTGTGGGCTTCCCTGCCAAAGGGATTGTCAGAAGGGGAATCACACTTTTTGCGACTGTACTAGAACACACCTGGCACAAAAGTATTTCTCCTGTAAATCTCTTTTGCCCCTAAATATAGGACTTGCAGTACTTGTATAGGAGCAGTTGTGATGTATTAGAAGTATATTCCAAAGCAAACCTTCCTTCCCAGGCTCCAGCTTTCCTCTAGACCCTCCCTCGCTCCATCTCCAATTGTGTGCTTGCTAATTTGGTTCACTGTGTGACTTCGGCTTTTGTTGCAGTTCTGTCTGACTGTACCTATGTTTATAGGTTTCATTGTGATAGTCTACCTTGTGAATTTTACAGTTGGGTGATTTCTGGGTACTTAAAGAGATTTAAGTTGGTGGCCTTATTAGAAATGTTGCACCTGGCATAGTTTTATAGCACCTCCTTTCTTCATCACAGACTGCCTCCTTGACTACATATTTTTGTCTATGAGACAGTGACAGTGATGGTGAGTGAGGCAGAGGGAGTGTGCCCTGATGATGACAGTGACAATGATGATGATGAATGATGATGGCAGCTTCCATTGAGCACCTACCGTGTGTTAGGCACCTTATGGGGGATATTTTGTTTGTTATTCCATTTAATCCTCATAATAGCCTAAAGAGTTTTCTTTTATTACTGTTGTATTTGCGGAAGCGGAGGTCTAAGGAACGTAAGTAACTTGCTCAAGGTCACTTACCACAGTTGTGTGAGGCAGAGTCACATTATCACGTTTGCTCTGGGAAGAGAATACATGAAAGACAGTTGTTATCCCAAATTGCTACTTTTGGAAACCCAAGTCACTGACAAGAACATTCCCAACCTGGACTTCAGGACTCATTATTTAAATATCCAAGCTATTTAATTTTATCCAGTGGAAGGAATCAAATAGGCACATGCTAGTGGAACTGTACATTACCTTCCAGAAGAGAAACTCGTGTCTTCCTTAAGAACTCTTGCTCTGTTCTGGGTGAAGCTGGGTTACTGGGTGCCTTCATGACCAAATCTCCATTCAGACTACTTTCAAGGCATTATTACTCTTTGTAATTTATCTTTAGGAGGATCCCATAAGCTATTGTCTACCCTCAATTCCCACCAAATTAATCATTTAGGAAAGGCTGACTGTGCCTCCTTTAACACCAACATTCTTCCTCTTGGATGGCACTATTTCTGGAAGACGGTTCCAGGGTTTTTAGGCCTTTGTGTCAGAGATACCGTCTCAGTGTCTCATAATGCTTAATTCAGCTGAGAAGTAGGGCTTGACTTCCTCGGGGTCAGGGACTTGCAGAGACAATTGAGCGAGTCCCTTGGTGGCCGGGCAAGCATCTCTAGGGAGTAAAAGAAACGTAAGCCATAAGCTGCTTGGCGTGCTGCTCTGCTAACCTCCTTGTCAGCGCCAGCCTGCACTCCCTGGGTTGCTGCTTGCTGGATGGCAGTAGATGGTGGACCGCACGCAGGTTGTGGCAGTAAAAACAGATCTTTAGGCCCGGGGGTGTTTACAGACTCCAATTCATGGCGTCACTCTCTGCTCTAAGGAAAAAAGATTGGCAGAGTTTTTGTTCAGTGAGAGAAGGGCACTGGCCCTCCTCCCTTTAAGTTCATGTCTTAGCAGTTCAGAGGTCCAGTGACAACAACAACTTAGGCTGAGAGGAGAAAATAGTCTAGCTCTGTTTCTTGGCCTAACTTCCAACTCCTAGCATATTATCAGAGTAAGCAATGTAAGAAAATTTACAGGTTGTAAATATTGGTAAGCTTTGGCCTCCAAAAAGCCTTGTAAATGCTTGTAAAAATGCTTGTAAAAAAAAGCATTTGTGTAGGAAACTGGACAGAAGCCATGATCTAGGAAAGTATGGCGATCAAATGCCTCAGTGACCCTTCTCTGTGGTTCTCTTTTGCTTGTCTTAGATACAGTCTTGGGGTTCATTCTCAATCTGTGGACAAATTTCCTAACCTCTCCAAGCCTCAGGTTTCTTCATCTGTTAAGAGCATTGGGACTAATGATACCTTCCTGGCGTGATTTTCATGAGGATTGAATGGGATCACATATTAAAGACATTGTCACCGCCCTAGTGTATAGAATGCCCACAGTAAGTGTCTATTGCCTCTCCTTCCAAAACAGGAAAATCGTCTCATGACTTCCATTCTGTTCTCCCAGTGCCATCAGGGCTGCATCCATGAGCTGTGGTTGTAGCTAACAGAGTATTGAGTAGGGAAGAGACTGGTGCACATGCCTTGACAGCCCTCAGCTGTGTACGATACACTCTATCCAAAGGCAGACTCCTCTCCCCACTTGTGAATTATGAAGTGAAGCATGGAGAAGCCCCTGAGCTTGACTGTGACTTTCTCATCTCTCTCAGGCTTTGCCCTGTCTGTATTCCTCTGGTCACTTGTAGGGTCATTTCCCCCAGAGTGCCTGAATCCCAATATTAGTGTAATAGTGGTGTTTAGGGAATGAGGATATTCTGCCCTGGGTCATAAGGAGCCCATGTTGTCAGCCAAGTAACATGAAGGCAACAGCAGCAGAGAAATGAGGTTCTACCTATTAAAGAAATTAGCTTGATACCTGAATATTAGTTTGATTAATAACAGTTTGGTTCAATAACAGTTATTGAAACTACTACTTTTATCTGGGTATTCCCTGCAGTATAATTCGTAATCATTTTAGTATTCATCTCTGCCAAGTTCACTCTATCAGTAAAGAAGTTGTTCTGATAAGTACTGCGACTGTTGGATAGTTCTCCCCAGTGGTCTTTCCTTTCAGATGGATTGGGTCTGAAAATAGGCACTCTGCTTTTATATTCCCTGGACTCTCTTATCAGCTTCCTTCCCTGGAACATCCTGGTAGCCCCAATCCTTGACTCTGTGTCACCCTCTTCTCCTTCTACATAAAGGGGCTCATATCTGCCTCTGGGCTCCAGGGAAGACACTCCCTGGGACTTGTCCATCTCTGGTGCGACTTGGACCCTGCCTCCTCTTGGGCTGGAGGGCACACCCAGGTAAACATTCTTAAAGCCCTGAGGTCGTTAGAAGAAAGAAGCTGCCCTATTGTGCCTTGGGTTAGATTAGTAAAGCCCTTCACCCTGAATTATTCTGCCAACCTCCCAAAAGCTGTTCAAATCTGCATCTAGGAGATGTGAGGCCTCTACCTCCCCCCACCTCCTGACAGATACTACCAGTCACCACCCATGGACGTGAGGACCACCTTCTTTTTCTCTGTTGCAGAAAACTTCACCTGCCTTTAATGTTAAATCCAGTGAATCCAGAACTGATTGGAAGTCATGTTTCTCAAATTAGGCTTTGGAGATCTCTTTGTAGGGCAAGGAACGGGCCTAAAAGGGCAACTAAGTGATTAATAAGAATTCATTTAAATATTTATTAAGCTCCTGGTCTGTACAATGTGTTGTGCTGGGCACTAGGGAGACAAAGATAAATTATATCTAGTCCATGACCTCAAGGCATTTGTATAAATAGCAAAATGCACTGCAGCAGCCCTTGGGGTGATGTGTGCTTCCATGGTGGTAACCCTCAAGTGCTATAGGAGCAGTGATGAGGAAAGTGACTGCTTCCAACTTGGGAGCAACTGCATGGATGGTAGTACCCTTCATCTACGAGAACTTTGTCCAGAGTGCTCCCGTCTCTCCATCCCGACTTCCACCCTCCACACTGCCAGGGCTGCTGAGCTGCTTCGCACACTGTTCTCCTGCCTTTGGCTCTTTGACCTCCTCCAGCCTATCCTGTCTGCAGCCTGAGGGAGCTTCGCATGTCTTCTCATTCTGGTTGCTTTTGAGACCTTATTTTTGTCTTTGATGTTCTGTAGTTTTACTACATCATGTCAAAGAGTAGATTCATCTTTATTATATTGCTTGGAACTCAGTGTAGTTCTTCTCATTTAGAAATTCTTGTCTGTTAGCTCTCTAATCTCTCTTTCCTGGAACTCCTTTTAGAACCTACCATCTTTTCTGTTTTTCCTCTCTTTTTTCTATTTCCTTTTCTGCCAGTGCTGCAGTCTGGGACATTTCCTCAAAAATGTCTGTCCGTTTACGAATCTCCTCGTAGCTGTTTATAATCTGCTGTTTAATACTCCTTCCCAATTTCAGGGTTCAGTTTTTATTTTTAATTTTTAGAAGTTCTATTTGGCACTTTTGAAAATCAGCCTGTTGTTTTGTATTTTTGTTTTTTAGTGTTCCAGTTTTTATTATGGTTTCTATTCCTTTCATCTCTTCAGTTATTTTGATTATACTTATTTTATAGCCTCTTTCAAATTGTTCAATTATTTCTGGTTCTAAGAACACCAGTTCTCCCAAGTGTTCTGTCTCTTGACTTGCCTATATGGTGGTTCATTTCCTCATATGGTTTGTTCGTTTTTGTCATCTTACTCAGGGATTGTTTTTACTCTTGGAGTCCCCTATGCCCCGGGTTATGGATGTAGCCTTTTATCACTTTTGCATTTGTTCTGCCAGGACCTGGGGAGTTGCATAGGTCCTGATAGTTTGATGTTCACCTCTTGGCTTAGGATTCCTAGAACCTGAGTGTATGCATTCAGCCTCCACACTCACATGCTGTGCAGGCTTGGGATCTCCATTCCGCAAAGGAGATGCGTCTGCTCCATGCCACATATAGACATTCTTCTGGGCTGTGAGAAAGGTCATCTTGGTCCCTGTTCAAAGATCCTGGATCCTGACTTTATGGGGGGCTCTTAGTTCCAGTTCCCTGGCCAGGTCTTCTACCTCCTGTGGACATTAAAGTCTCAGCTCCTGTAACTGCAGTCATATGTCACTTAACAACAGGGATACATTCTAAGAAATGTGTTGTTAGGTGATTTTGTCGTTGTACAAACATCACAGAGTGTACTTACACAAACCTAGATTGTACAGCCTACTACACACCTAGGCTTTATGGTACTAA